CCCCTAAGATGTCTTCGCGTACCCCAGGGGGTACGCGTCCCCCAGGTTGAATACCACTAATATAAACCATGTGAAATATACACACGCCATATCGGATAATGCTCCAATATCCTAGAGCTCCAGGTTGGAGCATTATCCGATATGGTGTTTTATATATACCGGATAATAAGTGCGTTGTTAAAAATACCTAATCTCATAGGCTATGGGTGTGAACTTTATACACGAAAAATTGTCAACATTCAACACAATCTCCGAATTTAAATATCCCACAGAACACTGTCCTCTACCGTCTAATTAATTATTCCGTGTAATTTTCCTGTTTAACGATGATACATCACTTGCTTCATCGTTAAAAAATAACTCCGAATGTATATACAAACATACAACACACTGACCACACATGACTCAACTGGTTCGAAAGTTAAACAAGTGTGTTTGTATATCCAGAGATCCATAAATAGCATATAAACGTTCGAGGCAGATTCCACCATTATTCTACTCGTACTTTCCATATGCAAGTACAGTCGACGCACAAAGTTAACTCCTTAAGTGGTTTCCGATATATTGACCTATAAGTCAGACAGACACACGAATAAAGTCAAGCTAAGCTTATTTTGTTCTGATGTGCATTACAGTTATAAATTGTCACTGAGGAAATCCAAGAGGATCACGAAAAATATCAGCCATTGACAATTATTTCAAGATCTTACAACTTTATATCTGTAAGCTTCTTGATCCACGGAGTTACATAACTACTGACGACACGACCCAGTTCGCTTACTTTAAGCTCCGGCTTAGATTACAACAGGGGTTCTAAATACCTTCCAGACCGAATTCCAAATTACCACTCCTTTACCGTCTAGCAGGCAGCAAGGTTATATATTACGATAATTTATTGAAACTGCACGACAATTTATTAACTATTATATATTATCGTTCATAAATTGTCATTAGTAACACGCCTGTAGCTAATTTTCTTTCAGACAACTTTCAATATCCGGTTGAATTTCTCTTTCTGAAATTCGTCAGCGTCCAAGTTTCTAATCTGACAGTCTTCACTAAGACACTGTAATATTGACCGTCAAATATTGGGTGCATTAGCAACACACATTCTCCCATACCGGGTAACTATTTGTTATGGAACAAGTTTAACACAATACGTTTCAGAAACGTACGCGGGCCACACAAAACATATCGGAGAGAGACACGGGTTGAGAACCCCTGGTGTACAAATTGAAAATGAATCTTAATGACCTTCCTGCGTTTTGTAGGCGTTACCCTGGATTGATCGTGCACGATCGCGTGTTACGAAATTTACGCAGTTAAACACTATTTATAGAATCTGAAGAGAAAAAAAAACACATCGCCGTGGTACAGGCCACACAAACCCACCGGTACTTGGCAATTGGCCGAACAAACTAGCCGGAGATGATGACTTCCTTTATAAACAAAACGGAAATCTGGCAGAGAGCACCACGCCGAAATTAGAACACCCCTCCAATGAATTTCCCCATCACCTTACAGTAAATCGCGTAAAATGAACCCAAACTTCCACAAGCCGTAAGATGGCCGCTGGCCAGATTTTCTTAGTGAATGTGTACTCTCACTCTGCGCATGTCTGTCGGGCGATCCCACATTGCTCCTGGGGAAGGGGAACCAGATGACGTCATTCCTTAGAAATCGCCGAAGAAAGACAAAAACATAAATCAACTTTACCACACCTTAAATATATTCCAAAGGCACAGTTTCATAAGAAGGTTCGTGGATAAAACACACTTCCCACACAGGCATTATATTTTGTAACATAAATGACTATTATTTGAAGCATTTTCGTTTGTTTACATAATGGGATAGCTTGTAGAGCGGATTCTTCAAGATACGAAGCGTTATCACGCGTGAAGATTCCTCTTATCTTGTGTACACTTTCTTAGGTGTTTGAGAAACACTGCTGATTATTTGGATGTAACAGGATGGGGACAAATATTCAATACGCGTGACAAAATACTTTTAGGGCTCTCTCAAATCAAGTAAAGGATAAGCAACACATTCAACACAGAATTGTCAGAGAAACTTTTAATTCTTTAACAAAATGGTTATCATGCTGGATTTGTGGGGTAAACTTCCAAATGAAATAGGTAAGTTACATAACGAAACAGAACTATTTCGTAATGCAAAAAACTGTATAATTCAAACAGTTATAGCTCTGTCGTGGGACAATGGTGTACTATGCTTTTCTTACTAGTTTTACTACAAAATATTTAAAAATCGCAAGCGGGCCACACAAAACATATCGGAGAGAGACACGGGTTGAGAACCCCTGGTGTACAAATTGAAAATGAATCTTAATGACCTTCCTGCGTTTTGTAGGCGTTACCCTGGATTGATCGTGCACGATCGCGTGTTACGAAATTTACGCAGTTAAACACTATTTATAGAATCTGAAGAGAAAAAAAAACACATCGCCGTGGTACAGGCCACACAAACCCACCGGTACTTGGCAATTGGCCGAACAAACTAGCCGGAGATGATGACTTCCTTTATAAACAAAACGGAAATCTGGCAGAGAGCACCACGCCGAAATTAGAACACCCCTCCAATGAATTTCCCCATCACCTTACAGTAAATCGCGTAAAATGAACCCAAACTTCCACAAGCCGTAAGATGGCCGCTGGCCAGATTTTCTTAGTGAATGTGTACTCTCACTCTGCGCATGTCTGTCGGGCGATCCCACATTGCTCCTGGGGAAGGGGAACCAGATGACGTCATTCCTTAGAAATCGCCGAAGAAAGACAAAAACATAAATCAACTTTACCACACCTTAAATATATTCCAAAGGCACAGTTTCATAAGAAGGTTCGTGGATAAAACACACTTCCCACACAGGCATTATATTTTGTAACATAAATGACTATTATTTGAAGCATTTTCGTTTGTTTACATAATGGGATAGCTTGTAGAGCGGATTCTTCAAGATACGAAGCGTTATCACGCGTGAAGATTCCTCTTATCTTGTGTACACTTTCTTAGGTGTTTGAGAAACACTGCTGATTATTTGGATGTAACAGGATGGGGACAAATATTCAATCCGCGTGACAAAATACTTTTAGGGCTCTCTCAAATGAAGTAAAGCACAAGCAACACATTCAACACAGAATTGTCACAAGTAAAGGATAAGCAACACATTCAACACAGAATTGTCAGAGAAACTTTTAATTCCTTAACAAAACGGTTATCATGCTGGATTTGTGGGGTAAACTTCCAAATGAAATAGGTAAGTTACATAATGGAACAGAAATATTTCGTAATGCAAAAAACTGCATAATTCAAACAGTTATAGCTCTGTCGTGGGACAATGGTGTACTATGCTTTTCTTACTAGTTTTACTACAAAATATTTAAAAATCGCAAATTTAAATATACATTTAACATGCAAATTTATAATTAATCACTGGGCCCTTTTATTGTCATTCAGCTAGTCAAAAAATTCAACTGGTGGACTGGATTCAAGATGAGGTCCGCTAGCATCTTCTTGCGAACACCGTAATAAATCTTCAAGTACCATTTTTTACAATGAATATCAACTGAGCCATGCAGCTATCCCTTTAAGCTACCCGGAAGATAGATAAAACCCAAATTTCATAAGCATGCAATTTTCAATTAATTTAAAATCGTCATTTTTCATGGGATGGACAACTTCCTTTATGAAGGAATCTTGATGGGGAGACCATGCACAAATAAAAAAGGCAATGTTAACACCGAAAAATATTTTTTTTATTTCATGAGTAGCAGGTATCTGAACCGTTAAGTCATATTACAAAGCAGTAAGGTTTTTCCTATAACACTAAATGGATGATAATTCGGTGGCGATGCCATTTCGTCTACAAATTAATTAAGCAAATAACATAAAATCTGTATAAAGGGCGTGTGTTAACATCCAAGTAATGATTATCATTTACAACACAATCCTACACATAAGTTTTAATATATATGTTTTTTAAAACTATTTTTACATGTATTTACAAACACAACGGGGGTAGCTTACTTCAGAACATAAAACATACATACATATATTCATTCACTACTACATTTGAAGGTAAATAGTCTGCATCTTCTATTAAAAATACTGACAAGAACTCCTGGGTAAAACAAAACATCCTTTCCATCTTCCACAAGACAACAAAAACTTCAGTTACCATAATTTGCTCCTGTTTAAAGTGCCAGCACGTATTTTTTAAATCTACGCAGTAAAATAGCCAGTCTTCGCCGTGAACTTACCGAACGAGTCGCACATTATATCCTGTAGACTCATCTACATGTACCAAGAGAAACCATGCTCAATTCTTTAGCGGAATTTCCAAATACAGAGGCAAACCAATGGTGCTAATAACCGTCAAAATGACACCATAAATATCGACGGTTATTACCCAATTTTACTGTAACCAAAACATTCCCCCAAATTCAAAACAAGAGGTCACAGTACAAGACACAGAATAATATCCATAAAAATCAAATTAAAAACGGGGGCTAAAAGAAATGATTACATTTTGTATTTGTAAAATTTTCAGATTAAGCGATCGGATTTCTGTACTGCCAAGAAATAAGCGCAAATCGAATCAATTCTCAAAACACAACGCGACTTAGAAAAATAACAGAGGATGGGAAGAGATGAGACTCTTAGGAATTTATTTAGGAATTCTTTACGCATATAACGGCACAGAACATCTTATGGATAGGCTGCGCCTTAAAATCTCGTCGTGCCCACATTTTCATGTTCAGAAATGAGACGGACCGTCTAGTAAGGAAATAATACATTTTAAGCAAATTAAAAGAAGACTACATTAGAATGATACTTAACTGCATTTACATTGAAAAATATAACTTTTTCTTCTTAATTCTGATGTTCCACGTCACGCTAGCACTGAAGATGTCAAACACTTCGTATTTAGTGCTGCGTCGATACAATAAAATAAAATTTGTAAAAGAAAACTCGTTTCAGTAAACACAAAAATTTACCTTTTCAAGAGTGTGAAAAATGTTTGACGCCCAGTTACGACTTCAAACACGCCGTTCCTTACACAGATTCAGATTCCAAAATGTGAATAAAGAATGTCACGCTTTGTTAGCCTAGTGGCAAACACTATTGAAGACCGCAAGCACGGTGTTTGAAACAAATATTTTACCGGGGGATTATTTTGGTAATTTTAGACTTTTAACAGAACCTCACCGACTTCATTTACCTTTGATCACGTTGTTACATTACAAATGATGTTACTACAAAAACTCTTCTTTGTACAGATGAAAAAAAAAATTGCAATACTAGAATCTTAATTATTAAAACTGCTCCGACTTCACGAAAAAGACCATCTTTACACATGTTTATTTTTTTTACCACTTCTTGTTACAATTGATTGATGTGTAGCGCAAAAACCTATATATAACAAGAGAGTAAACACATTTCTAGCTACTAAATTTAATACTACTACACAAGGGATTTTTTTTTCTCATTTAAAACACACCAGCGAGTTTTGGAGTTCCTTCATTGGGACAACTAATTACTGAGTCGCCCAGGCATTGACTAGGTTATCATAAGGAGTGTTGGTGGGGTTTCATAGTTCAAGGTAAAAGGAATAAGGACAATTGATATCACCGGCAGAAGGACAACAGTGAAAGGGTGAAGAATGTACAGCATTTTCAATACTAAAACACGGGTAGCAAGATCAAAAAGTGACCAAGCGCAACCTGAAATCAAATAAGTATCCGATAAAAGTATCTTAGTTGGGTTTCTACACTGCAGATTGAATTTTACTAGTACTTTTATTAAACTTTGTTTTAAAAAGTGTTAAAACCACAAAAAGTATGTAGAAGCAGGTTCAAACTTCATATTCCAAAATTAATATCTTCGGACTACCGAGTCAATTTAGCTACGTAATAAGACAACCAAAATGCATATTACATAATAATATTCAGGGCATAATAATATGAGGGAACTTCCAAATATTGACAGAACTTCCCAATATTGAGGGAACTTCCCAATATTGAGGGAACTCTCCAATATTGAGGGAACTTCCCAATATTGAGGGAACTTCCAAATATTGATAAATCATCGCAGTTCCAATACTGTCAATGCAAACAAATTTAATTTAGTCACGACCACATTCAAATACCATTCCAGCTGAAAGAGGTTGCGCATTCTTAGATATAAAATGAATAAGTGGGAAATTTTGGCAGAACCCTGGAATATTTCTTATGATAACATACTTTGCAAAAGTAAATACTAAAGATAATATGGAAGACAAACAAATTACTGCAAAGCAGAAAAGAAATACAATATCTAAGTATAGAAGAAAAAAAATTATAGAGACTTGAAATGCCCACAAGGAACTTTTTATATCATCAATTATTTATAATTATTATTATTATTATTATTATTACAACACACTTTGTATTTTAGTGTACACAATCATTTGTTACAGCAAAAGTATAGCTTAATTACAAGAAAACAAAGACAGGCCTGAAAGTGCTCAGCTAATATTGCAGGTTCGCTCGTACATTTGGCTGGCGAACGCTCGTTATAGTAGAAACTGTGTTACCTGCTCGGCAACGTGCAGAAATCTCCAAACTTCTTCACTCCCACTCAACTCTCATCATCAGTTACATATAGACAACAGCGTACTTAAAGAGGAGTGAATAAAGTCCGTGTCGGCTGTCGATTAATCGTGAACTTGGTTGCGATCACAGAATTCCAAACAGAGACCGTGACGAGTGCAGTGCGCTTGTACACCCGACAACTTCTCGACACCGTTCACGTGGCTTCGTTTACAAATTTTGAATACATTTATCGACGCGCTGTTCACATCGAATGAAACTTTGTCACCAAATAAAATTTGTTGCCTATGTGTAGCAAGCTCATGTTACAAATTTATACTAAGATGATAACTACAGTGCTATTATGTGCCCCCACCCCCCCAAAATCAACGACAGAACTTCCATATTACTTGCATGTGACACTTATCATAATTTGTACACTTAAAAGAGAGTTTCATCATTGTTAATGTGAGTATATTACAAAACTCTTCATAAAAAATTGGCTCCGAATGAAAAACGGAGCTGCTACATTAACCTATATAACACATTTCACCTGCGTTTAAACTCCACAAACTCGACTTCTTTCAAGCAATACCTAACACTTCTTGTAGTTACTTGCACAATTTAATTGCTAGTCTTTGTACCTCGGCCAGATGAATACAAATGTTTTTTTTCTTAGCGTGTACGTAAAAGACAGAAAATAGGAAGAGGTCGTAAAGAAAACGCGCTGCAATCGTAATAATTGCGAGACGGTCGTAATTGTATCAGATTCTTCAAATCTTATGTACAGAAAATGCTTATGTTTCATTATATACATGTAAGACAGTCTTTCTGAAAGACTTGAAATAAAGTTAGTCACAGCTTCTACTTCTGCTTTTGCTCAAAGAAATTGCGAAACATCTTGCCATGAAAACGGCTTGGTATTTGCCTAAAACATACCAAATAAACCATTTAGCCTTACCACGTCAACATAATGACTTCCATTTGTGAAAGAAATTAATAATTATTATAATAATATTAATAATACACGCCGACGAACATATCCGCGACAAGAGCGCTACAGTCACGTGCCCTTCACGTCTCATTTTAGTGACCCTGCGTATCAATTACAATTAGAACAGATGACGACCAGTATTAACCACGTACGGCCCAAAGTGGCACATACTTTGATCATAAAATAATATCTTCGGGGGACCTTTACAGTAAACCTATCGTCAAATCCTATCTTATCATAGTATCCTAAACCAGGAACATTCAAATATTAACCGGCCCGTAAGTACCCGACCCCGGTATTTCCTGGGTGTAGGAACTCTTGAAACCAAAACCCGCTGCCTTTACTACTTGTACCTCTCCATCGGCTTCAGCTTAGGGATGGGGAAACTGTACCACATGCCCTTAAACCTTACCACATTCAGAGAAATCATCTTGCTGACCTCCCACTGTAGTACACAACTCCTCTCTCTCGCTTACATAAAGAGAAGAGAAGTCGGAAACAAACGCGGAGACAAGTGACCCAAGTTTATGGGCTTTCCTCTTCTTCGCTTAAGTCTCCCGCTCCTTCTTAACTTTAAATTCTTCGCCCAGAATGGTTGCAATTTCACCTTGCATAAATGCCCAGGGAACATTCGAGTTTGCCAGAGGGCACTTCTCTCCACTTGGACAATAAACCTACAGCAGAGGGAAATAATTATTTTTATCATGTGAGGCGATCTATTACATCACAATAATAATTACAGTCAAATGACAAATGTGTTATTTCAGAAACAAAAATGCAATCTCTACTAGTCATTTCAAAAAATGCAACTCACCTCTGACCCAGCCCCCTGCCTCTTGATGCTATCCCGAGAGCAGGGGAAGCAGAACTTGTGATGGGGGACGGAGGGACATTGGACAAAATGTGTATCCTCGAGCCGTTCTTGGCACAGCGTACACTTGAGCGTAGTCGTGCTGGGTACAGAACCTGGGGCTCCGCTGCTGCCACCTCCACCAGGATTTGTGCCACCCTCTCCGGCATTACCTGTCGGTGTGCCGGCGCCCTCTCCGGAAACGCCGTTACTGTTGGTAGTTTCACTAGAGGTCACTGTCGTTGAACTGACATGACGACTACCTGATGATCGGCGACCACTAGTGGATCCTGCAAACCAAATTCGTCACAGCATTTACTTTGATGTACCGAGCTTCTCAATTAAAACATATTAATGGGCTGTGAATAAATTTTGCTAACTCTGCATCGTAGTCCTGACATGAATATGTCAATGGTTATTTCATGGCGTTGCTTGAACAACTGAGTTTATTAAGTGCTGAATTAAAGATGATTATGAATAACAAAGATTATAGGAGAAATGGGTTGACGTCCATTTCAAAAAATTCCCCAGAAACGCAGGAAATTCAACAACAACAACAAAAAATCAGTACAGCTGACTTCTGAGGAGGACTGACAGCGAAAATCTCCTGTCACTGTTGTTCTGGGTTACGATACTGCATGGACTCACACGCAGATACCAGTATTTCAGAGAAACATACTGCCTCCATCTTCAGCAGGTCACAAATTCAAATTTCAATCCAGAGAAAGATATCCCGACAATATTTATAGTTCTCCGGAGTCTTTCCAGGCAAGTGCTGAGATAGTGCTTTATATTAGGCCACAACGGTTTCCTTCCAAATCCTATAATTTAACATTGTGTACTTCGTGTTACTGACAGCATCGTTTAGTACACTACAAATAAATAAACAGTGCCACAACTCTTGAAGACCGACATCAACAACGTCACTGCAGCAAAAACCTCAAATCTCACCAAAACCTCCTGCGCGCAAGTCACGTGTATCGCAAGTGTAAATCACCCTCTAATTCTGAAGGTCACAAATCTGATAAACCATACAGATAATATGGAGTTTAAATAAATTCTTCACTGATGAACGTGTAGTTTCAGAAAACCTAGGTCTAATTACTTAAAACCTGTGGAAATTCACGTCTCCATTCCACATGTTACGACTTAAAAATACCTTCTTCCTTGACCTCCATAATTTCTAATCCATAACTTGGTTCCACATTTTAAAATCTCTGCACACACCAACTCCAATTTAACACAAAATTTCCTTTCTGTCATGTGCCCCCAAACCGTGGAAGATGGGGCACTTCCCCCAACCCAACGTACGATCGAGGTAAGTCAAACACCACAGCGCACAATGGTACAGAATTTATCTTAAATCATGCCAATCTGAACTAAACATGCTACAGCAAGCTTCCTTCAGCCCCATCAGTGACTAGAAGGAAGATCCATGCAATCCGAAGCTGACACAAGGTTTGGGCTAGTCGGAAAATCCTTTGGACCAACTGCTAGAATTTGTATGTGACTTCTGTAATGTGTTAATGAATGTTGTACCATCACAGTTTAAGGGAAAGGTCAATCATAAGCTGCAATATATTATCCCCGGGGTCCGCAGTGGCGAGTGGTCCCGAGGCGTGGGCCTTGTGTCGCTTGGACCGTGGGTTCGAATCCCACTCAAGCCATGGATGTTTTTCTGTGTTGTGCTGTCCTGTGTACAGGTAGAGGCCTTGCGATGGGCCGATCCCTCGTCCAAGGAGCCCTACCGAATGTCTATAGATCGAGCCAAGGAAAAGTTGGGACCCGCAGTGCTCAGGCATTTGAAGAACGGGTCGTTCCCAGTATATTATCCCCATCAAGAGAAATAATGTATCAGAAACTAAGATCACGCTGTGGTATGACTTTTCCAACATGTGCTTCCTGGTTCCTCAACAGTTACAATATCTACAATACATTCCTTCAAGTGCTCAACACGCTCTCCGCTGACATTC